ATATCTCGTTTTTCCCCTGTTTCTATGCTTAAGATTCCATTTGAGACACTCTTGAGCAATTCTTCAAGCTTGTTTGTGCTTAATGTTTCGTAATAAGTGGATTAACCTTTAGATCTAGGCAAGATTGAGCTCCAGGAGCTCAGATCTGTTAGCTTTATGGCCCCATGTGGCTTGTTCATCCTAGATCTACCCTTTTGAGGCATTTTGCACCCTAAAATCCACATTAGTGAATATCCACACGTAAAGTTGGAAACTTTACGTGTGATTTGTGTCCTAGAAGTCCAGATCTATGAATGGCATGGACTGAAATCGAGTAAATCGGTGTATTTGGTGGATGCATGGCGGCGACTCGGCGAGTCGTATTGGCGACTCGGCGAGTCTGGTCGCGAGTCACCGATTTGGTCCCTTCATGATGTATCGAGTTGAGCCGTGAGTCACAGGGGGTGACTCGGTGAGTTGGGAGCTGAACTCACCCATGTTAGGACTCGGCGAGTCAATGCCCTGACTCGGCGAGTCCAAGGCAATCTTCATAGATCAAGAACAGACTCGGCGAGTTGTTCATACAACTCGGCGAGTCTTAGCATAAAGTGTTCTTCGGATGAAGATGAACTCGACGAGTTGTTCATACAACTCGGCGAGTAGGATGAAGGAGTTGAATGACAGTTAGAAGATGAACTCGTCGAGTCATAGCCCAACTCGACGAGTAGAACCAGGGACCCAGGACAATAGTTTGCTAGGGACTCGGCGAGTGGAGATCCACTCGGCGAGTCGGGTCAACTGAAAGTTGACTCTAGCATTGGCTTAGAGCTAGACCGGGGTAAAATGGTCATTTTACCTAAAGGACAGTTAGCAGTGTTTGATTGAGTATGTTGTGGGAATTGCAGCCGGAGGACTCCCGGAGCAGCAGCAGTCAGTTAGTTCCCGATCAGTTCAGCAGCTACTTTGAGGTGAGTTACCTTCCAGTAGCGGTGGGTCTAAGGCCACAATGCCGGCCCACCAGTAGGAGACGTATGATAGATGATTGTCTTTGTGAAATCATCTAGGTTTGCTATTACCTGTTATGTTATATGCTATCATGATACGTTATATGCAATAGTAGTAGAGTTCGGTTGTTAGGACCGCTGGGTAGTCAGACACCCCAGAATTATCTGACTGTATGTGATGGTATGCTTGTATGTTGGTCTATTATGTTATGCGATAGAGGTAGCGGGAGGGGACCAGTCCCCGAGGATCGGTTGTTAGGACCGATGGGTAGTCAGCACCCCAGAATGGCTTGACATGGGTAGTCAGCACCCCAGAATGGCTTGACACGGGTAAGACGGCACCCCAGAATGGCCGCATGGGTAGGTCGGCACCCCAGAATGGCCGTACCGGGTAGTCAGGCACCCCAGAATAGCCTGGCAGTACGTATGTTATGTGTTTGTGTGGTATGTGGTACGTTGGGGGAACTCACTAAGCTTTGTGCTTACGTTTACAGTTTTGTTTTCAGGTACCTCTGCACCGAAGGGGAAGGAGCCGGCGCGGTAGCGGCACGTCATACACACACTCTTCGGTTTCCGCATTTACGAGTTTTACTGGGATTGTACTCTGATATTTTGATGGGATGTATGGTTTGACCTTTTAGAACATGGTTGCGATGTGTTATGGTGTGATCAAACAATGTTTTTATTTATTAACGTTTTCTAAAGTAATATTTTAAAATGAAATTTTCGGACGTAAAAATTGGGTCGTTACATAACCAACTGCTAACAACCTACTTCTTGTTTGTGCGATTGTTCAGTAACAGACCTAAACCCCCAATGACCACACAATCCTTGAAAATCAGACAAACACCTCCTGAATCCTAGCGAAACTAATAATCTAAGACATCTTGAAATGATGCCCCACTTATATCTTGAAGTCCAAATAGTCGATGCCCAGACCAAAGCCTCAACAGTAACCCACTTCCCCTGGCGTTTCCAAAAGCCGAATCGAGCATAACAACCAAGTCACCGATCCTGTCCGTAGGCCGTCCGCATCAGGTCCCTGAACCGCTCTCAACTGTAGACCCAGATAACATTGAACACTCTAAACCAGCAAAGAAGGAAACAACTTTTCACTAACCACACCGTAACACACGGTATGCAAATGACGTATAACAAATGTTTGAATGTATAGTCAAAACACAAACAGGGCAATACACCCATAGATACACTAACTAATACCCTTGAAACGAAAACTTCCCCGTGCAGTTTCCTGCAAGTACCACACTAAATCCGGCCCTGCTGGCCTTACACAACTAACTCGAACCCTTGGGCCCTTTTCGAGACCCTCCAATGCATGTACCTGATCTGATCCTCTATTCTCAATGTGCTCCAACCATATCCCTGCTCTCGAGCTCTAGAAATCATATCATTCAGGGACTCACACCCTAACCCACTTGCCAGTCCAATCGTCAACGACTAAACTATCATAGTTGGAGCGACCTATGCTCTACACCGGGCTACTAACTATCCTTAAGACGTAGTCTCTAATCCCGAAAGTGAAATAAATCGCATAATCGATCCATGCTGTCCGATACAAGAGACCTACGACGAACTCAAAACCATGGTAGTCCTTCCACTAACTGGCTCACTACCGGAGTCGGGACCAAAACATGGTCCTCCCTTATGCGTTGTCATCCTCATCTGCACAACAACTATCCCCACTATCAGAACATAGCCAAGAATTTCCCCTTCCATCAACTTCTTAGATTCTCCAAGAACTTATTTAAAAATGAAATTTTTATACTTATGGTTTTACAATAACTTATTTAAAAATGAAATTTTTGGCCTTGAATTTTGGGTCATTACAACAATGTTTTAAAAATCGGTTTGAACCGGTTGGTCGAACCGGTTGGACCGGGAACCGGGAGAGGGAACAATTCAACTATCACTGGTTTTACATTGATTTCTGAACCGGATTGAACCGGCCGGTTTTTAGAAAAATTCGGTTGAACCGGTCAAAATAAATCGGTTGAACCAGTTAAACGGAATACAAATACATTAAAAAGAACCATTTACATAATAAATTTTGGTGATATTTTTCAAATATATTTAGTTTTCTCTAAATAAAAACATATGATAAATGCTATAAATTTTTTTAATGTGTTTGTATTCATCTAAAAATATATGTCGTTTCAGTATTATACTTTATTTTCTTTTTGACGTATATGGATTGATATAAAACACTAAAACTTATGATTATGTGTTATTTTAATGTATTTGGACTCATATACAACTTATTTTTATGTGTATTTTTAATGTTTGAACTTGAAAACATCAAATTCACAATTTATATATGCATGTATGTGTAGGAAAATATAAAAAAACATGAAAAATATAGAAACCGGTTCACCCTGCGGTCGAACCGGTTAAACCAGTTTTTAAAACATTGGGTATATGGTCTATGCAAGCCCTCCATATGAAGGTAATCACCTTTATCAAAACCATTTTAATCCATATCAGTGGGTTGTTTGAGGATCTAGTAAGTTTGAATCAAATAATCTCCTTAAACAATCGACATAAAACACACCATCAGAAGAGTGATTAAATTTGAACTTATCAGGATTTGGAGAAGAAATTTGAATTGAATCCATCAACACATGTAGCCGGGATATTTCTGAAAGTTCAAGAGAGGAATTTGGTAGTTTTTTCCAGGTCCAGATAAAACTAGTTGAATTGAAACATTTAGAGACAAAGACAAACTCACGCTTTTCGAGCTTGAACAAGAGAGAGAGAACATATTCGAGAGTGCATCAGAGCCAACCCAATGGTCATGCCAAAAGAGAGTATCAGAACCTATATCGATTTCAGAGTAGAAAAACGATTCAAAATCCAACCCGAGATTGTCAATGCCATCTTTTATCTTCATAATACTCCCCCAAGGACCGAGAAGAGATTTTTTTGCCAACTTCGACATAGGTTTACGATCCAAATTGTGAATCCATCTGATAATTCTGCACCTAAGTTCATATTTTTCTGTCTTTAATCTCCAAATCTACTTGGCTAAAAGATCCAAATTAACTCCTCTGAGCGACCCGATACCTAAACCCGCATCTTCCTTTGATGTCAGTACGATTGGCCATTTAGCCCGATTAATTTTTTTCTTTTCATCGTTTTCCCCATAAAAATATCCTTCTAAGTTTTTCAATGAACTCAATAACCGCAAATAGGAGCTTTAAACAACGACAAAAAGTATAAAGGAAGACTTCCAATAACAGATTTTACTAAAGTATAAAGGAAGACTTCCAATAACATCTTCCTTTGATGTCAGTACGATTGGCCATTTAGCCCGATTAATTTTTTTCTTTTCATCGTTTTCCCCATAAAAATATCCTTCTAAGTTTTTCAATGAACTCAATAACCGCAAATAGGAGCTTTAAACAACGACAAAAAGTATAAAGGAAGACTTCCAATAACAGATTTTACTAAAGTATAAAGGAAGACTTCCAATAACATCTTCCTTTGATGTCAGTACGATTGGCCATTTAGCCCGATTAATTTTTTTCTTTTCATCGTTTTCCCCATAAAAATATCCTTCTAAGTTTTTCAATGAACTCAATAACCGCAAATAGGAGCTTTAAACAACGACAAAAAGTATAAAGGAAGACTTCCAATAACAGATTTTACTAAAGTCAGACGGCCGCCAAAGGAGAGCGTTTTTGCCTTCCAATTGGAAAGATTGGCTTGGACTCGCTTGATAATAGGTTTTCAATTTTTCATTAGACTCATATTTGCTTCCACTGGTACCCCTAAATAATTGAAAGAAAAAGAAACCGCACCACACGCAAATAATGATCACTAAACTTTTCAAGAAAAAAATTTAATTGTTAAACATTAACTTTTATAATGTTTAAGAAAGTTTATAAAATTTAATACGTTATAAGAAAATTTTACTAAAGCTATATACTAATTAAGCCTTATCAAATTCAATGTATTATAAATGCTTTTGTTTTATCGGTGACGGATAAACAATGGTCATCTTGAAAGCTCATATCTTTGGTGCCACGTATGCTCAACTTCAATTGACGTCTTTGACCCAAAGATAACATCATAAATTCATAATAGAAAATTCCTATAAAAAAACCTGAAAACCCTTCGCAAAATCCCAATCACATATGCCGATTCCCCCAACCCTCTCCTAATACCATAGTGTGGAGTGTGGACCATCATCAACCAAATCCCTTCTTCCCATTTCTTAATGCTTACCTTGCCAATTGCCATCGTTCTCAGTGCATCACTACACGACACTGCTGTACTACCAAATCAAATCCTCTCTCTCACTGCATCAGATTTCCACTAACTAAACCGAATCGAAACTTTTTGTGTCCTTTGTTTAATGCTTTGATATGGCGCCAACGACCGCTATATTAACAACACCATCAAAACGGAGCACAGAATCACCTCCGACTCTTTCCCCAGCCGATCCTACACCTCCGTCGATTTTCCCGGCAAAAACTTCCGTCGATTTCACCAACAAAGTTACAGTTGCCGATGGAGGAAAGCTTAACGCTTCGACGCCTGAATTATCTGCCAAAAGCTCCGTTGAAGGCACCAACAAGGTCAATGTCGACGGTGATGAGGTAATTCATTTTTTTTTCTTATTAACTATTATTTTATTTGTTTCTTGATATGCGTGGCTTGATTTTGATTGTTTGGAAGTTAGGGGTCAAATATTTATTAAACATTAAATGCATTTAGATTTGGGTGAATTTTTATATTTATCATTAAACATGAACTTGTGCTATAGAATTAATGGGACATGGAATGATTAGATTTTTGGAACCTTAAAGTGAAATAAGCATGCTCGTATGTGGGCTTTTTATGATTGCAATCAATTAAAAAACGATTTTCGCAACTTTATTGTTCATACTGTTCAAACAAATCTGCTTCGCAAGCAATTGCATTAAGCATTTACTTGTAAGATTAATGACTTATTTGTATCATAAAATTACTATGTTTCGTTAATTTTACAGTGAAGTAGTCTTTTTTTTTTTTTTTTTTTTTTTTTTATAATTAAATTACATAATAATCTTTAAATATGTTTCATATTATCGTAAAAACGTGAAATTTTGTTACACAAACAAGATATTAATTATTAACCCTTAATTATTAATGCATCGAGTTATTAACCATTAATTATTGATACATGGGATGTGGAACTATTAGATGATTCGTACTATATCAGTATATTACATACATTTTTATCAAGATTATCACATTTTATAAAAATAAATCCAATATGACGCACATAGCATTAGTCCCTTTCAAGAAATCGAGTATTTGATATGATAACTTAAATATATTTTTTTTTTATTTCGGATACTAAAATTTTATTGGATGATAAAAATGGTAATTTAAATGTGGTTAGTGAATATATAAATATTATTTTACATGAAGAATGTAATAGGCCCGACCAAAATGGACTTGTGGGGGGCTACTTGAGAGTCATGATATGATATTATATGGTGATAAGGTCAAATTGTTGCTTAAGCGTGCAACTGCATAAACTTTATTTATTTATTTATTTTTTAATTTTTATCGGTGGGTTGTTGTTAGAATATTATTAAAAGGTAAAACACTTTATCAACATGGTTATTATTATTATTATTTTTACTTTAAGGAGTTATTCTCCGTGCGTTGATTGTTGACATTTTTCTTTTTTGTTAAAATATGTTTACCCAATTCATGTTAGAAACAGTATGTACGAAGTTCATGACTAAAAGTCTTAATATCATATTAAAGTATGATATGAGAAAGTAGTTAAGGAACATTTGAATACAAGCTTGACCCTAGTGTAGTATCGGGTTCCAGAATATGTGCAAATTCGATTGATGATGAGCTCAGATTCATGCTCATTATCAACATAAACATGAATCTAAGTTGATTAATTCATCGCAAAAGAATACTAAAAGAATACAATATTGTTCATTAACTTTTGAATGATATAACCTTTTTTCGTATGCTTATTTGGTATGATGATATTTTAAAGTGGTTTTCCACTTAACATTTGGTGTTTTTTTTTTTTCTTGAAATTCAGTATTTTTCTTGTTTGTTCTTCTCGGATAATGTTTTCTAAAACCATACATTATTTATAATTAGGAAATACATATTGAATTTGTATAGGAGTAACATGATTTATTTTAAAATTGAAATAGATAAATCTCTTTGAATGCACATAGCTCACCGTTCTTGAGTTGTAAAGTGAAAACCACTCATTTGGTCCCCTTATGGACTAATTCGACATTAACTTTTAAGAAATCAAAAAGTGAGGACATTCATACTTCCCAAAGCAAAATCCATTTTTGAAAATCTATGATGACTTTATTTGATTAAAGTAGCCGTGATTATGAGTGTTTATATTTATTTATTTTTTCAACATATGTTGTTAATAATATTGCATTTAGATATATCCTCACATTTTCTTCTTATTCATATACTTTTTATTAAATTTTAATGGAATTAGTAAATAACAATTGATATGGTTTACAAGTCATGTTGTTTTTCCATTATCTTATTATCTTAAATAGACCAAATATCTTTGTTATGTGGTTGGTAATCAAAAGAAAAACATAATCGTGACATATGTTAAAGTGTGTTTGTTTTATAATGCGTGCGTATTAATATGTTCTTTTCCCTATTTTAGAAAAATGGAAACAAAGTTGATTTAAAATAATAGGTGATTTTTTTTTTTTTTTAATTTTTTTTGAGACATTCCCCTCATACAAATCTTAAATGAAAACAACCTTTTTTTTCATTAATTTACTCGGATTGTTTGTTTTGAAAACAGAAAATGTTAATTATTTTAGTGTCACTTGGTCAAGATAATGTAATTGAATTTACAAATACCAATGAAGTTTATGTTTTGCTTTTAGACAAGTTAGGAGGTGCAGATTGCACACTTGTATAAAAAGAATTTGATTTCGGTTTGACAGAATGCAATGGTCGGGAGGAGCCGTCCTAGAGGGGTGTGAAGTAGCGGCCCAACCCGAAAATTAATTTTCATAAGGAAAATTTTATGGAAAATATTATTTTCAATATTTAATGTTGATTGATCTCATCTTTGGTAATCTTAAGAATTCAAAAGGCTATAAACCGTTAGTTAGTGGTCTCATATCAATGTCTTGAAACAAGATTATTCTCTAAATAATTATCCTCATAATATGTATTTCGTGTAACCTAGACATAAAGTCGAAATACATGTTCGAAAAGTGATCAACCGATCGTTCAAGCAATGCTATTAATTGATTTCATAATTGTTCAGTAAAAATATCTGTTGTGTAATCTTCAATTTACTTGACAATATATAAATCTATGATTTGGATTTACAACCTTTAAGTTGATTTGTATAAATCAAACAATTAACATAAATGTCAAGCAAATAGAATATATAGCAAATTTTAGTTTTTTACCTCCAAAATTTATGTAACCGTTAATATTAATCGGCAATTAGCTGAAGGGAAGTGATCCGTACACAACAGATTTTTTACTGTTCATATTTTCGTGTAATAGAAGCCCATTTTTGCTATGTAATTTTAAAGATACCACAAAAAGGGAAAGACGTTCATTATGAATTTTGCAATAATATAAAGAATTTTGTAGTATATACGTATAGCAATTCCACAATGTTTAAAAAGATAAAGAGCAATTTTTCGTAATATAAGAAGAAGTTTTTTGTGATTTATTTTTGATGAGTGACACTATAAACAAATTTGACACCAAATAATAAATTTTAAAATATAATGAGCTTTTTTAGTTTTTAATATTTTTTTATTGGATCATCCAAAATTAAAATGGATGTTACAATAGATTACAAAATTAATAACTAATTTCGTAAAAAACGAAAAGGTTTAGATAACGACAGATCCTAAACCGATATAGTAAACTTTTAGAATTTACCTTGAAATCTAGAACTGTAAATCTAGAACTAGTGGAGTTTGGACTCATTAACGCGTCCACTTTAACCTTAATTCATCACCACGTGCTCTTTCCATTAGCCACGCCCCCCCCCACCCCCATCTCTATCTCTCTTTCAAACCCCTTCACCCCTTCCACACGCAAATCAACTCATCAGATAGATCGATCTACCACGACACGACCCCCACCAATATCATGAACAGATTCCGCTCAATCTCGCGGTTCGTATTTAACTCCTTACCACACTCCTTCTTCCGATTCGTTTCTGCAACTTTTGATTAAATAACTGCAAGTGTTGATAGTGTTAAGCCCTTTGAATGTTTGATTGAAGCAGTAACTCTAGTTCACCCTAAATTCTTAATCATGATTGCTGCGGAAGCAGACTAATGTTTATTAGTTATTATGCTTAATCGAATGCTTGCTTGCTCTAGTTTCACTTTCAATTTAACGTGAATTCAAGAAATTATAACGATTTCGCTTTGTAAAATTTCTAGGTTTCGCATGAAAAGGGGGTTAGGAATAGGAATGAACACGGTTAATGACTTTCTTAATTTTCTGTACTTTTGCTTATACAATCACCAAGCTGGTGTTATTCCACTCAACTGACTGTCTTGATTTTCATTACTTAAATGCAGAAATTGAAGAACGCGGATAATAGACACCCATCTGTCGCAATGGGGCATAACAGCGATGTAGAATACATCGGGATTACCGAATCCCCATCTCCTACAAGTCTTCCTACCAACAACAACAGCAAAAGAATCTCAATTTTGCCCCTAATTTTCCTCATATTCTACGAGGTTTCCGGCGGACCTTTTGGCGTCGAGGACAGCGTCCGGGCTGCCGGACCTCTTCTAGCCCTGATAGGGTTCTTGGTGTTCCCATTCATATGGAGTGTCCCGGAAGCTTTAATAACCGCTGAAATGGGTACAATGTTCCCGGAAGACGGTGGCTACGTCGTTTGGGTGTCATCGGCGTTAGGACCTTATTGGGGGTTTCAACAAGGCTGGATGAAATGGCTTAGCGGCGTTATAGACAACGCCCTGTACCCAGTTCTGTTTCTTGATTATTTAAAATCCGGCATCCCAGCTTTAGCCGATGGCTACCCTCGAGTTTTAGCCGTTTTAGCCTTAACAATCGCTCTCACATACATGAACTTCAGAGGTCTGACAATCGTAGGGTGGGTCGCTGTTCTTTTAGGTATATTCTCCTTAGTTCCTTTCGTAATTATGGGTTTCATTTCAATTCCCAAAATAGAACCACAAAGATGGCTAGTGGTTGACTTACACGTAGTCGATTGGAATCTCTACTTAAACACACTCTTCTGGAACCTTAATTATTGGGACTCCATAAGCACCCTCGCCGGAGAAGTTCACAACCCAAAGAAAACCCTCCCAAAAGCCTTGTTCTACGCCTTAATCCTAGTTGTCTCCGGCTACTTCCTCCCACTCTTAACAAGCACCGGAGCTGTCCCCCTCCACCGCGACCAATGGACCGACGGATACTTCTCCGACGTGGCCATGATCGTTGGCGGCGTATGGCTGAGATGGTGGATTCAGGCGGGTGCCGCCATGTCAAACATGGGAATGTTCGTCACCGAAATGAGCTCCGATTCCTTCCAACTTCTGGGTATGGCGGAACGCGGGATGCTTCCGGAATTTTTCGCGAAAAGATCCCGATACGGGACCCCATCGGTGGGGATCTTGTTCTCGGCTTCCGGTGTGATCTTACTTTCATGGCTGAGCTTTCAAGAAATTGTGGCGGCTGAAAACTTTTTATACTGTTTTGGGATGATTTTGGAGTTTATTGCTTTTGTGAGGTTGAGGATGAAGTATCCGGCAGCGTCTAGGCCGTATAAGATTCCGGTGGGGACAATTGGGTCGGTGCTTTTGTGTGTTCCACCGACGATATTGATTTGTGTTGTGTTGGCGCTTTCTTCGATTAAGGTTTTGGTTGTTAGTATGATTGCTATTGTTATTGGGCTTGGGTTGCAGCCGTTTTTAAAGCATGTTGAAAAGAAAAGATGGGTGAAGTTTTCGACAAGTGCTGATTTACCGGAGCTTTATAATGCTCATGAGAATAGTGAATCTTTGGTTTATTAGGTCGAAAGGTAGACTGCCATCGGTTGGTTGATTTGGGTGTGGGTTGTGTGTAATGTGTGTGATAGTAGGTTGTCGTTGGCGGTTTCCGGTTACTTTTTGTTATTGGAAAAGCTTTTTTATTTAATATATTATTGTTTTCAACATGTTTGGAAACTGTCTACAGGAATTGGTTAATCGTTTGATTTTTGGTCATGCTTCAAGCATTTTCTTTTAACTTGTCACTAAACGATGTTAGATGATTTTTCCACAAACCGTATACAACTAGTGTTATACCCATCCGGTGGACAGATCGACAAATGTTAAAACAAGAAATTGATTTTAATTACTTTCTTCTATATCGTCATTCGAAATTGATTTTAATTACTTTCTTCTATAGCATCATTCTTTCATTTGTTCTTGTATTGGCAATATATAAAAAATTTCCATTCTTTGAAAATAATTACGTACTGGAACCAATGATCAAGTAGATTAATCAGCTTATTGCCTATACTTTAGACATAATTTATTCATACAATATTTTATGTATAAATTATAGAAAAAATAGCAACCGGCTTTAATTTCTTTTCTTTTATGCACGGTTTTGGTAAAAGTAGAGTGTTATTAACTTATTATACCTCAAAAACTTATGCTATTATAATCATTTAAGACCGGAAGACATGGGGTAGAGTGTTATTATACCTCAAAAGGCTTGATGCTATTATAATGACAAGGGATGATTCCCTTATTTTTTGTGGGCCATACAATTTTTTTTCTTTATTTTATTTTTGTTCACCTAAAACCCAAGAAATGAATGGGAAGCTCCTTTTATTATATATATATATATATATATATATATATATATATATATATATATATATATATATATATACTCATTTTGTATGAAATTAAAAATCATAAATTTTGATATATTTTTTTATATTTTTTGAGTAGGTATATAATTTTATAAATATTAAAAAAAAAAAAAAAAAAAAAAAAAAAAAAAAAAAAAAAAAAAAACCAATAGCATGGAGAGAGAGAGAGAGAGGCACCCCTCCCCCACCTCTTTCCTGCGGGTTGCTTCCCTCACCCAAGGGATGGTGTTCCAGTGTAAAAGAAGCTTTCCTCTCCCCTTTCACGTTATGATAGCGTCCGGCTTAAAACGCAAATATTAGTAGGTGTCAAATAAATTAATTAATTTTAAAACACAAAGTTCAAATTAAATTTATTAATTTTAAAACACAGTTTTCTTTTGACTTATAATATATAGTTTATTATCAATTATTCATATCAAGTTCTTACAATTGATTACAATTGAAAAGAAATGTGTTTATCATCCTATAAATACCATATATAAAGCTTTTATTATTATTATTATTATTATTATTATTATTATTATTATTATTATTATTATTATTATTATTAAGTTTTTAAAATTTGACAAAAGTTGTAAATTTTTCTAAAAGATATATAAAAACATATTTCAATCTTTTACATAAAAGTTTGTTTGATTAGAAAAAAAAAAAAAACTTATTTTTTTGCAAATTTAGACCCAACATTTTCTAACAAATTTTCAAACTTCATGAAAATGTTCTTTCTACTTTTTTTTTACAACTTCATTTTTACACACTTAGGCTTTTACAATCTCTTTCTACTTCATAAAAAACAATATAAAAACATGTAAAATTGGTAAAACAATGTAATTTAAAAACACGTAAAATATGTAAAAATAAAGTTGTAGAAAGTCATGTAGAAACGGAGTTGTAAGAAAAATTATTAGGGAGATTAAGACAATTTTGTAAATAAATAATTTTTTTTTTGTATCTATATTAAGACAATTGTGTAAAAAACAATATAATAAATATAAAAAAACTTATTTTAAAAAAGTTGGTATTGAATTTTGATGTGTGTAAAACCAACTAGTTTTAATCCTACTAACTTAGACACAAAATAAACACACGAAAGGCAGTGTGACTATCGATTAGTAATATAATTCAAGCAAGTAGGGTATCGAACACAGGGAACGGTAAACAATTAAAATAAATGCTAATATTATCTAAATAAAACAACTAATAGAAAGGGGGGTTTTCTCTAGTTTTGCAAGACTAGAAACTTAAACAATTAACTAAAACTTAAACTAAGAAACTAAGAGCTAAGCAAATAAAAATCAACTAAATTCAATAATAAAGAGGACTTCTGATTAGGTTCGACTCATTTGTTCCCATGGATGATTTCAATGTATCGGATTAATTCTTCATTGGCTACCGACTAAGATGATTAGTTTCACGTTTGCTATTACTAATCCTTAGGAAACAAATTAACTCAAGCAGTGGCCAGTTGTCTAAATCAACGGATTTCCTAGTTATTGATTCGGGTTAAATAAGACTTGTAATAGTTAATCAAATTGGTGATTCAATTAACCTCTTGTTGATGGTGTATCACACAAGCTCACACATTAACTTACCTATCTTCAAGTTAATTCTAGTTTCACATTCGTTATTCCTAGACATATAACTATGTGGTCACGTAAATCATATGAAATTAGCAACTAAGAGATGTTCATACAACTTAATTACTAATTTATTAACAGAAGAATAGTTATTGTTAACACATAAGGTTCTTTAACAAGCTTAATAAAACATAATCACCAATTAAAATTAATCCTAATCAAATAATCAATCCATGTTCACAAATTCATCTACCTAAACAGAAGTTATGAGTTTTTAACTCATGATTACAGCAGAAACAAGCACAAAAACGAAATCAATTGGTAAAAACATAGTTCAAACAAGAGATTAGGTAAGAGTAAACTTGATTTTGACTTGATTCTCCTTAAAATTGAATGTAGGGTTGATTGCCTTGCTTCCCACGCTCCAACAGCACCTTTAGTCGACAATTGGCCTCCAAGGGTTCATCTATACGCTAGGGTATCGATCTGAAAGTCCCTTTATATAGATTTTCACAAAACAGGGGCTACTCGGCGAGTCCATTGACCTACTCGGCGAGTCCATCACTTAAAACCCGTGCGCGACAAGTCAGCGCGTTCAGAATCGCGAAACTTCTGACCAAATCGGCGAGTAATCGACCCTACTCGCCGAGTAAGTTTCGAATCAGCATTTTCTCAAAACACGAAAGTCGTCCGAAATTGTATCTACTTTTCAGAACATTTTGAATCTCGTCAATCGGAGTTACGGTTCATGAGATATGGCCAAAACACTGACGAGGGGTCAAGCTGTCCAGCAACATCCTTCTTTCTTCAAAATCCAAGATCCAAGCTTCCAATAGCTAGTTCCGCTTCATTTTCCTTTCGAGCATGTCTTTGTTGCTGAAAATGAAATATTTAATCTAATTAAGCACCTTTTGTTCATTAAATGAGATAAAATCAACATAAAGTATTAAGATAATGCATGAATTTTCTAACTAAATATGTCCATATCAAATTCACAAAAGAATAGTGGTTCTCTAATAAAAATTAATGTAATATGCAAAACCTGTTACAACGGGTTATATGGTGTAATGGATACATATTTAAAGTTAAATAACCTTGCATCTCCAAAGAAAATTAACGGACTTAATAAGAGTAATAGACGATAATAGTCCCATACTCCATTCATTTCAAGAAGTTCTTTTCTTTTGCATGTCACTGTCGAATTCCAAAAAACATTGCTATAATAGGCTAAAAATTGGGTCAAATTTAGCACAAAATCCGCATTAGAAGAGATTGCAATAAGAAAATGAAAATCACCAAGATTCTTGAATGCATTCTAAACATGTAGTATTTTTGGACAATTAAACACAAATATGGAGATCATATTAAAGACAATAGACAAAAGTGGGACAATTTCTATTGAAATCTTGTTCTTGATTACAATATATCTTCCATTTAATGACTTAAATGGTTCCCATCAAGTCAGCAAGAACTATACCTCAATCTATTTTGCTTTTCTAATGGAAACAACAATTCCACTGTGGAATCCATATTAGTCCCTTAGTCCCTGGAGTCACAAATTTTAGCTTCTTCAAGAAAGCATTATCATCATTGGAGCAAGTTGGAGATATAGTAGCCATAACAACAAAATTATCTTGATTCTCAACATCAATTACATAAACCTTGTGAAAAACATCCTTAAGTTCCTCCACCAATGTTGTATAGAACACTTGATTCAAAGGAACAACATGGAAAATAATAGGGCTGTCAAATCGGGCAGTCGTGTCGTTTTTTTGTCTAACACGACACGACAAGGTTTTGTATAACACGAACACGACACGACTCGATGTCGTGTTTTTTTCATTAACACGATAACGAACCACTTAAAACACGACAACACGACACGAAACGACAAATATAATATTACATAACTATTAGTGTATTTCATTCATTCATATATATATATATATATATATATATATATATATATATATATATATATATATATATATATAAAACAAGATAAAAACGACAAACACGAAAAACCCGACAACCACATGCTTAATCGTGTCAATTTCGTGTCGGTTTATGAGCACGAACACGACACGACATCGTGTTTTTTAATCTTGACACGAAGACGACACGAACACGAATTCAAATTTTCATTTCGTCTCGATTTCGTTTCTTTTCGTGTATTTTTGTCGTGTCATGTCATAAATTGATACCCCTAGAAAATAAGAACACCATGATCATCAAGAAGTGATCTCAAACTTTCATAAAACATGTTTATTAACAAATTCTGGTGGTGGAGTACTAAACCCATATTTAGCATCAATTGGATCCAAATCAACAAAAATCACATCAAATTTAGGATGATACTCTTGTGGTGGAGTACAAACATGGCTCCTGTGCTTTTTGATTTTAACATTGTTTGATCCAAAACCGAAGCCTTTTTCAATTTTGGTCTCTGGGGTCTTGAAATAAGGACCAAAATCAGAAAGTTGTAGGGACCAAAACTATTATGAACCCTTGGAAAAAAGGACCAAATTGAAACTTTTTTCAGTTTTGGTCCTTATTTCACTGTTTCATATTGATT